CCGACCCGACCCGAGGATAGTTGAACCCGAGCCCGACCCGACCCGAGAGATTTAAATTCGTTTATTTTATAAAGATACATCAGTTTATTGCAATATTAAGCATAAAAAATGATAGAAGCTTTATAGCAATAAAAAACACATAGATAATCATGATTGCAAAAAAAACCATCACAACTTAGTATGATCACATTTCCATTCAAATACATACATTTCAAACAGTTAAGATCGATAATGATCATAACAATAAGTATCGTACAAATATCAATAATACATCTTCAATTGATACAAAACAACTGAAAAATTTCGTAAAAAAATAAGAGAGTCAAGTGATTCTGGTGATATTTGTTGACGTCGAACTTCAAGAATCCGACCTGTTTTACTGAATATTCTTTCAGATACAGCAGAACCTGCAGGTACTGCTAAGAGAGAACATGCTAATAATGATAACCTAAGGAGAATCAAATTTAAATTAATTTATTGAATTTTTCTTGTGCATTTAAGGAGAATGATATAGTAATCAAGAAACTCACTTTTTGTATATGATAGAGTGTTTTTGCCACCGTTGTAAAAGTGATTCTCCTTTTGGGTATGATATTTTCGCTTTAATATAATCATCTACTTTATCCATCGGCCTCTTATCATCATCGTCTGATGATGAGTCTACAAATGCATTAAAAGACTTGAGAACATCGTGTACAGTGTCTGTTTTAATACGTTTTTGATGTGTTGAGGAATTGTTGTTGGTACCTGTCTCTGTTGTTTCTTCATCGACTTGTTGATCTATACCTAGAGCTTTTAAAAGTATTTGTATATTTTTAATAACAGCATTACGTTCTGATTTCATTAGACTCTGAGAATCATTGATCAATAGAATTGAGTTTTATTATTCTATGAGTTTAAGACGAACGAAAATAGAGGGCAAAAGCATACATACGCAAAAAAATCTGACCCGATAAAAACCCGACATTTTTTAATTTCAAACCCACACCCGACCCGACCCGACGGCTGACAGACCCGTACCCGACCCGACAAGATTGAACCCGAGCCCGCCCGCACCCGACAAGATTGAACCCGAACCCGCCCGCACCCGCGGGTCGGGCTCGGGTGTGGGTCGGGTCGGGTCGGGTTGCAGTACTCTATTAGATACGCACATGTCAATAGTTTTTATCACGTTCTTTTTTTATTTTTTAATAGAAGAATGTTGCTCTGGCAGGTCGATGTTGCCATTAACCCGCACGTTTTCGTCATCGCAACATGTATTTGATCAGAGTTGATCAT